TATATCAGAACAAAATGTCAAATCTGTAATAAATTAAACTATGCTATTTTCTCATAATTAATTTTATAAATACTGTATTTTTATGTGTAAATTTACTCGCCTCCTTAACTTCTAACCAATAATAATTTATGTCATAGACAATATTATAGCATAATTCATCATCACTCATAAAATGTAAGTACTAATGAGTATTTAGTTTTAATTTTAATAATAAATAACACAATTTTATCGATAATATAAACGTTTAAATCTGTAACAATGAGAAAAATAACTGAACCTCCTCAGTGCTTATCAATTATCACACCACTTAATTCTATGATCAAAAAACTCCTAATATTAAATAATTATAACTATAGTTAACTACTATTAAATAAAACTTAACTTAGTATGAAACTAAATATTATGATCAAACTATTGCTAACTAATATTAACTACGGTTAACTAATGCTAAATAATTACAATTATTGTTAACTATACTAAATAAACTTTAAATTAAATTATTACAGGGGCGTCATTTGGGGGGGCAGACTATAGCAAATGCCCAACTCTAAGAAATTTTAATTGGTCGGCAATTCTTTGTCCGATGATCAAATGCTAAAATCGGTAAATCGTAAATTTTTATTTACTATTTTGTACTCAGAAATCAGATTATATTCTCTTTAAAATACACATTCACGGTTTATGAAAATTTGGGAAACACTTGCTCTTCTCCAGTTTATCATTATTACGCGAACCTTATAAACTTTATTTTTGGTTTATTATATATTTCTATACGTGTGATCTCTATAAAACAGTTTTCGTGATATCGACATCATAAAAATTGAACTCATATAGGCGCGTACTGGCCCACCGGGATACCGGGAAAATCCCGGTAGGCCCTCTCAAAAATTATAAGATTTGGGCCCCTTACCAAATAGGTACTTATAGTTCCAGTTAAATTCAGTAATTTTATTATTTTCAACAATTACAATACAATACGGACAGTCGACTTCTTAATTTAGTACCCCGCGGGAAATAAGTAAGACACGCAATTTTTCGAATAATTTAATTGATTTACTTTTGGTAAATATGTCTGTTACCATTATTTGGATTATTAAAATCATTCGATTATTCCATTTGATTATTCCCATCACTAGTTGTGACATCACCAGCAGAATCGATATGTAATGTTGCTGAAGTTCGGCCGAAAAAACGACCTGTATCAGCTCGGGAATACAATAAATTTAAATATATTGCAATTTCTTTAGGCATATTTCCAATTTTGTTTTTTCCGATAACCTGCTTGATGCATTAACCGTTTTTATAACTAAAAATAAAATCTGTCTGACGTTACATTTGTGGGTTATAAATCCATGTATCTCTTAAAAATATCATATAACTCCCCTATAATATTAAATTATCGTGAACAATTTGTTTTTGAGTAAAGAAGTTTAATGTGTAATATATATTTCACTAATGAATACTACAAATATCGTAATAAATGAACGGAGAATGAATAGCCAATATATACAAAACAATTTTATCTCATCTACCTTTTTACTAAATATTGAATCAGCAGGAGCTTCATCAATGAATTTTTTATATCGGTTGAAGTAAAAGATTCGGAATTTTTACTTTTAATCCACTCGATTTTCTCTTTAAAAAAAACTTGTAAGTTTAAATAAGTACCAACGTTAATATTATGTTTGATATGTTTCATACTTTTAAACATTAATAGACTATAAAGTTAACGATTTAATTTCTGTAGATAATTTATTCAAATTTGTAAAAAACACATTTTCCGACAACGAATTGGTTTTATTTAATTTTCTCAATTTTAAAAGTTTTTCATAAGCCATTATATACATTTCTTTTGATTTTTCAGACAATAGATTTAGTGAAACAGCATTTACCGTTTAAACCATATATGGTGAAGTTAATCATAGGCGTAACTTGGAAATTTATTAGGGGGAGGGGGGCAAAAATATAATTACATATCTAACGAAAAGGGTGTCCGATGATAAACGCCGTTTTACTACCTACTTATTATAACATAAAATTATTCACTTTCTAACATTATGTTAGATAAGTGAAAATTTAAAATTAAGATTTAAAAAAAAAAAATGTTATAGTAATAGCTGTTTTGTAATTATTTTAAAACAAGGTATGTTAAATATCAGAGGAGGCACTACCCTTCCTAATTTATTTTAGGGAGGCAATTGCCCCCTCTTGACCCCCAGTTTACGCCTATGAAGTTAATGGTTCACTACAATTACTGAACCGATTGTCATCTTTCGCATTTATGCTTGTTTGCGCGCTTCGCGGTCAAACCATCACTGATTCGATTGTGTGACGTACTCGCGTCGTTTGCAATAAAGAACACTTACCAAGGATAATTAATGAAATTATAATAAATGCCGGGATAAGCGGGCCAAAAGCGCCACAGTAATATTAACAAAAAAAGTAATAATAAATATGATAAATCTAAAAATACCTTGGACGGTCTGGCGTTCGAGTGGTTATGCCCACGCGACCGTGTTCACACGTGCGACGAACGCTACAACCGACAGAAGAATCGGTTGATCAGCGGCGTCGGTCTCGATTTACAATAACTGGCTTCTCCGCGCACGACGATAACCGAAAGAAAATTTCACGGACACGTGTCAGCTACGGTTCGAACAGTCGTCACGCACACGAAGTTGTTCTCGGAGATGGCGACTCTACCGCGCTATACCGCAACCACAAAAACACACGGCCGGTGGCACGGGAAAAACGACGAGTCGGACATTCGCAAAAAAAGTGTCGGCGGAAAAAAGTCCCGGCTGTAATGGCGTCCATGGACCGGTGATAATCGTACCGCGATAACGCACCGGTCGAACCGACACCGTTATCAGGAGCTCCGGTTAACACAAAATGGGATAATTTGAACGGCGACGTGACACTTGCGCGAACGATCTTATTTTCTAATTCGAATTATTATACAAATCGCGCAAAACAAATTTATCCGTAACGTCCAACGCACTTGTGTGGGAACAATGAAAACGAAATATGTTTAAATGTTTATGCGTCGCGCAAGGAGGTTGTGATATGTGTATAAGATTTAACCAAAAGTTTATGTTTTGTACGAACCGTGGTATACATTTAAATTTCTGGTTGTGCTAGGAATACGCGGCCAGCGCTCTTAGACGTTTCCATTTTACTACACGGTGTTATAGGGATTTCCACTTTCCCTCGCACCGCACTTTTTAAGATTTCCACTTTACCGCCCGAAACTATGGGATTCCCATCTTACCACTCGCTGGACGGATAAATGAAACATTCCAACGCTTCGACCGTGGTCGAAAACCAAACTTTCAGTACCTACAGGTGTGGCAAAAATGTTATACCTAAAGAGTCATTTTTTAATTTCAATTACCGTTTACCTTTGTGTTTATCATTTCGATTTCTTTATTGTATAACACTCACGAGTGTAATGAGAACTTTGTGATGGTTGATGAAATTATCTTTTGGGATGAAAGTTATTCAATAAGTAAGGGAGCAATTTTGGAATTTTTCAAGAATTTCGTGGAAGATTGAATGTTCTGCAAAAGTTTTCAACGCCTTCAGTAATACACAAAAACAGTAAGGAAATTATATATATTGAAATAATAGTTTTAAAAGATTCTTCCGATCTCGTCAAACATTTCCGTTTTCTCTTAAAATAACAATTATGTACCGTCACCATAATAACATACCTTCACGAAAACAAATTCATTTCGTGTCATCGTTATTGATATACCTAAGTTATTTTGAGTATTATAATTTTTATTAAAAGTAAGACTTTTAAGTTTATTATTAGTGCTTTTTCATATGCAAAAATTTACATTCCAATGGTAGTCAACGTTTAACACAAAGGATTTTAATTGATTTTTATTTGAAACGTAATATAATTAGTGTTTGAATATTTCATAAAATATAAGATTGTAAAATTTTTCAGTATTTAAAAAAAAATTGTTTTTCTTTTATATATGTTTAATTTTTATGTATGTTTCACATTATTTAGGTAGAACAAATTAATAAGACCCATTAGTCATTAAATTAATTTGATTTTGTTTCATTTTTAATTTTTAAACTTTATTATTAATTAAATTTTGTTTGTCAAAAAAGTTACATATTAAATTTTAAATACAGTAAGATTTAACACTATGAAATTTCAGTATGTTAAGTTTCAAAAACAATAAGGGTTGATAAATAATTAATGTAAATAATAGGTACTTACTATATATACCTACTATTAGATAGTAGGTACCTACTCTATTTTTCCATAAATAATTATTACATTAAATATCTGGTCATCTAGTCACCATATATGACTATGATAACTATGTGTAAAGTGACTTAAAAATGTTTTAAATTCACGAATAAATGATAATTTTATACCTATATTTAACTTCCTAGTAGGTAATTAAAAAACTACAATTATCAATAAGAAAGTGAGTATCCATGGATTTAAAACTGTTTTTAAGTTACCTTGTGATAAAGTAATAAAATAAAACTAAAACTTATACCACATACTTGTATCAGTTGAATGAGTTGCATCAGATTTAAAGACATCTAATGTTTTTTGGGCATTTACAACAATCTTAAATGTAGTTTAGTTGACGAGTTGCATTTTTTACCGTTGTCCAATTGCAGTAATTACATGACTTTTTTAATTATGGTTTTCTTACGGTTTTTTTTCACTATACTCTCTAAACACTTTATGTATTTTTGCACTATGTTTACCCATGTTCAATGTTATCCAAACGTATTCGATACACCCATAAACGTTTGAACAGAAATGAGTACAGAGTAAAAATGATAATATTATATTAAATTTGTAAGTGTTAACGAATATTTACATAATATAATAGTAATAATCATATGAAAATAACTCGCAGTGGCGGTCAAACGGGGGGGGATGAGGGGGATAGATCCCCCCCTATGGCTTTTTTTTTCTTTATATTTATAACAATTACATTTATGTTTATTGTACTATAATAATGTTAATGTATTACATTTTGTTTTAATTTTTCTTAAAATAACGCTTATGAGGCATGAGCGTATATTATTATCTAGATTCTAGACTCGTTCTAGGAACAAGACTGTTATTATTATTAATATTTAGTAATTAGTTGCTTATACAAAATATACGGGAATTACCCAGCTCGGTGATCGTGAATAACAACACACTCCTCCCTTGACCGGCCCATCGGTAAATAATACGTAGCTATGTCATTATAGTTGGCCAAATTCGTCGATTATTATTACGTTTGTCACAATATTTTGTTACACAGACCACAGTGTTAACTGTCGTCCCGTTATTCGTGTCGCGTACAGTCATACTGTGTGCGCATTATATATTTTTATGACTGTCTGCTATAAATTGTGATTGTGATAATGTCTAATAAAAGAAAAATAACCACATATTTTACTTGCTCTACCAAGTCTCCCATAAAACACGCGAATGAAAAAAATAGTAAGATACCTAAGATCATTACAGAAAATGAAGTTGTGGACTTGCCGGTAATATTTGTTTAACTAATTAATGTAAAATTATTTTATTTATGTGGGAAATGAGAATATTAATTCAAATTATCTATTGTATTAGGCTGTTGATTTCAATGTCCATGATATTGGCTGTTATATTAACAGTACTTTGACTGATGCTGATAGATATTTGGTAAGAATTAAATATTTTGTCAGTCGTTAATTATACATGTACCATGTGTAGTGTTTGTTCATTTTGACAACTAATAAAACCAAAATTGATTAAGATTCTTAAAGATGTGTGGATACCACCAGCTACATATACATATCCTTTACTCGATTGTAATGCCAAGAGAGGCTTAAAGTTCAAGCACCATTGGCTGAATGCTCATAACTGGCTGGCATATTCTGAAAAGTACCAAGGTGCTTTTTGCAAATTCTGTGTTGTATTTTCAAAAGTTGGTGGCGTTGGTGGTCAAAAATTAGGAACCCTGGTAGTGGAGGCTTTTACTAATTACAAAAAAGCTACAGAAGTATGTATATTTATAAATTTATTCAAAATGTTATATATAATAATATTTCAATTTTTTTGATAGGTGTTTAAGAAACACGGAAATTTAGAATACCATAAAACAGCTTTGCTTAAATCTGATAACTTTTTAAATGTTTATTCAAATAAAAGTTCTTCAATAATAAATCTTATTGATAGTGAAAGGTACATCAAAATAATAAATAAACTTAATTTTATAAAAATCTATAAATGTAAGAAATATATTTGAACTACATTTTTCAATTTAATTTTTAGAACAAAACAGATTGAAATAAATCGAAAGCGTTTAATCCCAATTATTGAATGCATTATGTTATGCGGCCAACAGGAAATAGCATTAAGAGGTCATAGAGATTATGGTCCTATTTGTTTCAGTCGTATGTATAATGTATATATAACATTATATTATAGTTAACAACTTTTAAGTCTCAAGTAGAAATTAAAAAAAAATGTCATATGACTAAAATTAATATTTAGTATTTTATTATTTTATTAGACTGTTTTATAAGTTATAAGAGTAATTAATAACATAGTGTATTTTATACTTTATAGTAGTTTGTATTGTATTTTTGTTTTATTGTTTAGGTGAATCAAATGAAAATGAAGGGAATTTTCGTGCAATATTAAAGTATAAAGCTAAAGATATAGACTATATGAAATCTTATTTAGAAACAGAGTCTAAAAACAAATATATTAGTAATCGAACACAAAATGAGATAATAGAAACATGTGGAGATATTATTTTAAAAAAAATTGTTAAAATTGTTAATGAATCAGGTTTCTTTTCCGTGTTAGTCGATGAGACTACAGATGTATCAGTAAAAGAGCAACTCACTTTATGTGTCAGGTATTTAAGTGGATCTGGAGAAAACGTTTGCATAAATGAGAGCTTTTTGAAATTCATAGAAGTTCAAAGTCTTACAGGAGAAAATTTGACTAAAGTTATTCTCAATGGTAATAAATAATAAGATTATTTTATTTCATAGCAACTTAGTTTTTTACTCTTACAAAATGATATGCATGCAAATTATTTTTAATTTTAGGTTTAAATGCTTGTGGAATTGACTGTAATAACATGGTAGGTCAAGGTTATGATGGTGCGAATAATATGTCTGGACATCTAAAAGGTGTTCAAACTGTTATAAGGGATTCATACCCTAGAGCATTATATGTGCATTGTGCTGCTCATAGCCTCAATTTAGCAGTATCTAAAGCTAGTAATATTCAGCCTATTAGAAATTGCTTAGGCATTATAGAAAAAATGTATAGCTTTTTTAATTCTCCTAAACGCCAAAATGTGCTTTTAAATAAAATTAAAGAAAGTGATCTAGACCCAAATGTAAAAAGCTTAAAGCGTTTATGCGCAACAAGATGGGTTCAGAGATATGAAGCTGTAAATGATTTTATAGAACTTTTTAACTTTGTAGTGATATCCTTAGAAGACATTTCTAGTTGGAAAGATACTGCTGCAACTGATGCTTCTATTTTAATTAGAGCGCTTGATTCTGAATTTTTGGTATCACTTCAAATTGTAAATGTAATTATAGAATCTTTAAAATATATTACATTTTATTTTTATAAATTATTTTAAAATATATTGATTTTAGGTATTATTTTCTTATGGTTTACCATTATGTAAATTACTACAAAGTAAAGGCATTGATTTAAAGGAAGCTATAGATCTTGCAGGTGATAATGTTACCGTACTTAAAAACTTAAGAACTAATATTAGTACAGAATTTAATAAAATGTTCAAAAAAGCACAGGTAAGCAATATATGATCTTTGATTGAGACTTAAATATTTTTAGTTAAATATGGAAATGTACAATTTTAACTGCAATAAAACTTTTATATTTTAATATTTGATTAGGAAATGGCTGAATTCTTGGATTTTCATATTAAAATTAAACGGATTAATAAGAGACAGATATACAGAGATAATCCAAATATAACAGATGATGGTTCTACACCCGATCCTGAGCAATATTTCCGAGTATCTATATGTCTCCCTTATATTGACTTCTTTATAAACCAATTGGAGGATAGGTTTTTGGCACATCGTAGAATTTTTGGAGTTTTGTTTTATATTTTGATAAATAATAGTTGAATACTTGAATAGCACTATTTTAAAAATGAAAATAAAACATATAATTTTAAGTTATTTACAAAATTAACACATTTATTGTAAATTAAGTTTAATTATATTTAACAATAACTTTTCAAGGTTTTCAATGTTTATTTTCGAATGATTATGATTCTGAGGGTTTTGATGATTTAGTACATCTTTACCTTCCTACTGATATTCAAACTGTAAAAGCAGAATTGAGTTTATGGCATACAAAACTTTTACGCTTAGGAAAATCTCCAAAAACAGGACTTGATGCTATCAAGTTATGTAATAATGAATTATTTCCTAATTTGTTTGTTTTATTACAAATATTTTGCACACTTCCGGTATCAACGGCCACACCAGAAAGAATGTTTTCATGCCTCAAACGGTTGAAAACATATTTGAGAAATACTATGGGGGAGGTAAGTTTGCTGTATTTATTATAAAATAATATAATATAATAACCTATAATTGGAATAAGTATTAAATTAACAGTTCAAATATACATTATACACTAACTTTTTAGGTTTTGTTAATTTATAACTTATTAGCATGTTTGAAATGTCAATATAATGCTTTGTATATTAGACATTAGTACATTATGTTAAAATATATATATATATATATTTGTTAATTGTGTAATTTTATTATTCTAGAGTCGTCTCAATGGTTTGGCCACTATGGCTGTTCATCGGGGAATTATAAATATAACATCCAATGAAGTGCTGGATGAATTAGCAAAAAAAAACAAAAAAATAGATTTAATAATATAATACAAATATTGTTAATATTAGTAATATTGTATACCTACCTATATGCTATAAATAAAGTAACGATTTACCTGAATTTAAAAAAATTGATATTAGGCATAACCATAAATTATATTTTAATGATTAATAGTAGTGCATATTAAAAAATCAGCAACATCCCCCCCCATGACAAAATCATTTGACCGCCACTGATAACTCGTATACAATTTTCTTGATATAAACTATATTATAAATTGGCTATATAATTAAAATGCTATGGTATTTCAATGAACCATTTTACAAACTTGTCCTATGGGTCACGTTTTATTTGAATTCCTTAAGAAAATATGTAAAATGAAGGTTTTGGAGACCCTACGTGGCGACAAAAACAAGTACTGCATGACCGGCTTCAAAACCCTACGTGGCACTATATTCAAAACTGAATTTTTCGTCTTGGCGCTTAACCTGTTAATGTTATTATTTAATTGTGTAAATTGAAAAGTTTCATTTTCTTTGTTTATCATCATGACATCATTATTCATTACTCATCCTACTAATCTTACATGTTTTGTTCCGAAAAAATATTTTATTGATAGTCTATCGTCCATAAATATCAAATATTTAAATATATAGGTAACCATAATTTTTTAAATATAATGAAGTCGACAAATTTAATCAGTTAGCCCACCCTTTCAAAAGTTGAAATGACGCCCCTGAATTATTAGGTATAAATTATTTATTTAATTTAATTTAACATATCATAAAACTAAATGTTATGATCAAACTACAACGAACTAATATTAAATACACAATTAACTATTTCTAAATTATTCTAACTATATTTGATTACCACTAAATGAAACTGACATTAAATTATTAGGTAAGAATTATCTACTTAATTTAACTTAGTATGAAACTAAATGTTATGATCAAACTACTGCTAACTAATATTAAATAATTATAATTATATTTAACTATCACTAAATAGACCTTCAATTTAATTATAAAATAAAAATGATTTATTTAATTTAACTTAACCTATTAAAAAAAAAACTTAATTTTTTGACCAAACTACTGGCAACTAATATTAACTACAGTTAACTAATGCTAAATAATTATAATTATATTTAACTACTATTAAATAAACCTTACATTAAATTATTAGGTAAAAATTATTAATTTAATTTAACTTATCATAAAACTAAATGTTATGATCAAACTACGACTAACTAATATTAACTACAATTAACTAATGCTAAATAATTATAATTATTGTTAACTACACTAAATAAACTTTACATTAAATTATTAGGTAAAAATTATTTATTTAATTTAATTTAACATATCACAAAACTTAATTTTATGACCAAATTACTGCCAACTAATATTAGTTATAGTTAGAAGTAGTTAAGGGAGTTAACTAATGTTAAATAATTATAATTATAGTTAACTATTATTAAATAAACCTTACATTCAATTATTGGGTAAAAATTATCAATTAAATTTAATCTAATATAAAACTAAATAATATGATCAAATTATGACTAGCTAATATTAACTACACAATTAACTCTATCTAAACTATTGTAACTATATTTAATTACTGCTAATTAAATCATGCACTTAACCACTACAGTAATACCCCATAAGCCGCTCCCGGCTAATACGCTATCCTGTTTAATACGTGGATTTTTTCCGGTCTTTAGTACGCGTAGTTCTTTTAACATTGAAAATAACGTTTAATACGTATAATCCGCTTTGTTTTCTGAACACTCATTCGATAAAAATATATATTTTGTATATATTACAATCTTCATTGGGACAAACACCTCTCCAAAAATATGCTTTTATATTTGGTAGGATGGAAAAGTTCTTATTAAATTATTATAGAACAAACTCATTGAAACAACAAACTATTAAAACTTTTTTAAAAAAATAATACATACACAGTTTACCTAATATAAAACCATTACCTGCCACTTTTTTTTCAAAAAATAATATAACCTAACATAAACGTATATGTAATTTAATATAATAACCTTGTAAGTCGTAAATGTGTATGCATCGTTCTACATTTATATATTTATTGTATAGGTATTATTTTTATGTAATAAATTTAATGTAATACCATGAACTTTTTTTTTTTGTCTAATATCCCGTTTAAAACGTTTTAAAGGAGGCGATTGTAAATTGTGCCCACATTGAGACGGTAATAAAAATAGTATAGTAAATTGCACCGATATTTTTTTGTTTCTAAAATGGGTATAGTAAACTGCACTCATAGTTTATATTTTTTTTTTTAATAATAATATTAATAAAATGTATGTTATATTTTAGTGGAAAAGCCGTTTGTAACTATATATACAAGCGATTTATGATTTATATAGCGAATTCGTAATCATATGTTGTAGGAATTTTAGGAATAATAAATTTAGGAATATTATGTAAATCAGAAATGTTATTTGTTGATGATATATTTGAGTATTGTGCTAATCACTTCCTTCAACTATTTAGTGTTCATAGGTATTATAATGGTCATTACATATCATTAGTGTCTAGTTTATTAAAAAATAAATCTACTAACACATACATACATTTTTTTCGAATATTGAAACAAAAATGTACTGTATTTCTACATTTAAATGCATATCTGAAATGTATTGGGTGCAATTTACCATGTATCGAGAGCGTCTTAACAAGATTTTACTATAGTTAATAATAATTAAATTGATTTTACTTAAGTACTAACTATTAACTAAAAAAATGTTATTATACGACCGTGATACAATTTGATAAAATGCTCTTCATCATAGCTTGTCCGTCCTTTTTTAATTCAACCACCATATATTTATAATCAATCGCCATCTTGCCTTGATGATCAAATGCGTAAAAAAAAAAATATTGAAAAAACATAAGATTGATTCACATACTAATATCTGTACTGTCAAAAAAACGTAATGAACTAATATTATTTTGTTTTGTTGATTTGTATAACATAACAACCAGTTGTATTTCAACCAGTACATTTTTTTACAATACTTATTAGTGGTAAATTATATCTGTTACACCCAACATCAATAATTGAAATTTTATACGCTTGTATACATATAGTACGAAAATACATAAATTCTAAACGAAGTTCAACACTTTGCAGTTCTCAGAACCATTTTTACCTCGACCATGGCTGTTCCACGCGAAGCCGAATACAATTCAGGTGACAATTATACACGATTTATATAAACAAATCGTTGTACAATTTATCACCAATAAGCGTTTTGAAATTACGAATATGGGAATGAAAAAATGTTGGGAAACGCTTTCATATATGAGATAATACACGAAGATCGGCAAACATCTTTCCGTAGTACAAATAATGTTATATAATAGTTTCAGTGGTGGTAATCGAGTATTTTTTTTTTATGGTGGGAGCAATTTTGTTAAAAATGATTCTTAATTTATGACTTTCGGATAAAACAAATTTAATTTGTTTAAATGTTCAGGAAAATCAGTTATTTCATGTGAAAGTATTTTGTTTACTCTCTAAAAATATATGAGCTTCCTTGACCCTTTAAGTAACTGGTTAACTGGTTTAAGTAACTAAATTATAAATACCCATAATGATATTTAACAAAAAAATGAATGCTACTTTTCTTTGAAGGTTTACACTCCCTTCACTCCCTTTCCCTAATTACTATCGATGTGTATTACAAAATTTGTAAGCTATTGTAATTATTTAATATAGGTACAATTTAAAACCGTGGTTCTCAACCTGGGCGATTAACCCTACCGGTGATCCACCCGCAAGTGTAAGGCTGCAGGATGGTAGTACCATCATGCTACCTTGCATAATAGATGTCAGAGCCGTAACTAGGGTGAGGTGAGCGAGGCACTTTCCTTGGACGCCTAAAGCTCCCCTAACCTGGGGAGCGCCAAAATAATAAATAATTAACTTATTTTAAGAAATGTGATTTCTTGTTTTGCTAGAAACCCAATTGCATTTTTTCAGATTTTTCCGAATCGTATTATACATATTAAAAGTTGTTTGTGTGACAACTCTACAACATAGGTGGCGCATTGGTTCAGTTCTGCCTTAGGATAAAAATGACTCGGTACGACTCTGTACTATATTCAAATTAAAACTTAATATGGAAGAAAAATAAAACTGAAGTACAGTTATAATGCTGAGCTTTGCATCATGACTTATCGGTTATTATTTTATTATTTTACTTACCTGAGAGAACTCCTGTCAATAACTAAAACAGTTTGTGATTGGTACTTCTAAACACATCTATCGGACAATACGATGAAGGCCGCGAAAGCGTTCCTAACTAGGAGAAAACTCACAGATGGCGTTCGACGGCTGGTTTTGCTTCATGGCAACCGAGGAAAACGTGTCCGCGGAGTGAGAGTAGATGTATTGCCAGCGCATGCGCGTACGGTTGTTTTATGGATATTCAAACGACCGTTATCATCTGTCTTATCTAACTGTCGTCGAACACAATAAACGCGGAACGTAATTTCAATTTACAATTTAAGTGAATTTTTCGTCAAAAATAAATACACTACGGTATTTACGTCAAGTTTTCGTTTTTCATACGCTTTTGTCACCTGTAGTGTAATCATTGTGTAATTATTGCAATTCTCATTGTGTGCGGTGCGAATGTATATCGTTTCATTCTACCGGAAAATCTGTTTACCCATACACTTTTAAGGTAAGCAAGCCAAATTAACTCAAATGATTGCAATATACTAACAATTTTCAGTGTGGTATTTTCGATAACAAATGGTTTGTCTTTTTATTTTCCTATTATATAGCAAACCCTGTTACTTGATAAGCCAAGTGCTGATTGCATTTTTATCCAACTGTTCACTTTATACATTTTATCTGTAGACATTTGTATTTCATATGGTGACTTATTTATAATTTATTAGATTTTAAATATTTCATTATTGTATTACAATTAATTGCACTACACAATACATTGTGTATTACTATTGACACATATGATATTAATCTAAGTGCATACATTTTATTTTTAAATGTTATTGTTTAATTATGTTCAGCATTATAATATTAGTGATTGATTAAAACCACTTTACTAAAACTAATGGTATTAACTTTTGAATCTAATATTGTTACTAGGACCTCTTTAATTAATAATCTTAAACTTATATTGTTACTTTTTTGCTAAATTAATTATTATAATATAACCATTAAAATCATGTAACCATTTCTGCAATCAACATTTTTAATGGTTTAGAAATATAAGATTATTAGATAAATTTGGACATAAATGTTTTCCTTTCTAAATTAAGATTAAGTTAAAATGTAGAATATTTACAATATCTATAAAAAAATGTACATCCAATTTTTTTTTTATTTTCAGTTTACATTATGGAGAGATATTATAATATTGACATTGACAAGTTAATCTCAGACCACAAATTATCTTATGAAAATGAGTGTGAAAATGTTACTAATCAACTAAAACAGTTATATAATAACAGAATAAAACTATATGCACAAAAAATAGATGAAAACTACAAAATATCAAGTAGCTATACTTATTTTGATATTTTATTATTATAATTTACTAATTTTAAATTTTAGAACAACTTTCTGATGTTAACACAAAAATTAGTGAAGGCCGTAATAAAAATAGGTTTTTGACTGAAAAAATTAAAAGTGAACAAGATATAGTGCAGGCCGAATTCAATCGCTCAGAATCTATTAACAATGAATGTAGACTTTTGGAAGCTGAAGAAGACAAATTGAAAGATATGATTGATACTTCTAAAGGTCAACTTACTAAAATTCTTAAAGGTATAATATTTAAAAACTTAAGTAAATATATTTAAATTTCTTTTATCATATAAATACATTATTTTTATAGAAAAGAAAGGACTTGTGAAAAAAATTAAAAGAGAAATTAATTCATTCAAAAGTGGAGTGAATATGTATGAAAAATTTTTACAGCTTAGTATGAGTATTGAAAATCATGAATCAAATTCTATTATTAAAATTATCATGAAAAATAATCCCTTATATTACAATATTATTCTTGAGGAAAATGATAATGATTTTAAACGTAAGTATTAATTTATAATTCATTTTTTAAATGTATTTTATTTGTTTATTAATATATATACTTAATGCATTTAAAAATATACCCATCAAATTAAGTAGACGTCATTTATATGAAATTAAAATTTAAAAATTTTATGTTTGAAAAAAAATTATTTAAGTTCATCATATTGTAGCGAGCCTCAACTTGATAGTGTTGAGCTCGTACGATTATTTAATGACAGAGATCTCGTTGTTGATTGATAGATGGAAAATATCAGAGGTTGAGACAAAATACACGAACGTTAAATGAATGTAAGACTATTAAATTAACTAAAAAGTACAATGAAAACTAACTTTAAATACTAAGGTAATCTATGGTTCAGCCGCAAGGAGTGAAACATAGACTATGAGTTGAGGCGAAGACACAAGTTAGTTTTTCCCTAGTATACAAACATATCTGTATATATACTAGTGTTATTCCTACATTACGTGCTTCTGGAAGGTCGACAATAAGGAAAACGGAAATACCATAAGGAAACAGGAAAAAAGACTCATGGGTGCCGAGGTCTCTATGGCCTCGGTTAGTCTATAAGATATTACCTTCGACGTGCTCGCACTACCCAAAGGTTTCGTAACCAGGATAGGATTACTATGCTTATAGTCTTGTAATACTAAGCATTAACGTGCTTGTAATACCTATGGGATTACTACAATATTGATAATATTCCTAGTAAAAATATATTTTATATTTTATTTGTATTGATATATATGTAAATAATAATAATTTTTAACAATCCTTAGTTATTATTTTAAGAGTATAAACTACAAAACATTTTCATTTTTTTTTTTTTTTTTAATAAAGTTATAAATACTTATTAAATATATTGTATTGATAATGATTTATATTCTTATTAGTTTAGTATGCTAACATCACTACTTTTTGTCGTAAAATAAAATTGTTATATTCATGAACAAAAACATAACATGCATTGTTTTACTAATGATGTTTTATCTATTGTCACATAACATTACTACAGTTTCTTTTGGGTATTTACAAAATTAAACAATGTTATGTTAGTAAAATATGTATTAAATATTGACATTTGATGAATATTTTAAAATGATTTATTAATTTTAGTAATGTTATGTGATTTCAACTAAGTGGTGTCTAACTCTATGTATTTAATTTGTCTAATTATATTTGTTTGTTTTCAGTTATAAATATCATTCCACACAATCAACACATTGGTAAGGCAGTAGCATTGTATAACCAGAACAAAGATATCCAAGGCTTATTAGCTTACTTGTACCAAACATAAGAATAAATGCATATACTTATTTTTAAATTTAACCTGTCTTATATAATATTTATGATATTTTCGCCTGGTAAAAAGTAATAAATAATTTCGATGTTTGTAAATAAAAATATTAATTTTTAGAATTTTATACAAATCTTATTTTATAATTAATAATTAAATATAATTACATATAACTTTAACATATTTATGTAATATTTTATTTTGACACATTGTTACCACATTGTAGTTGTACTATCAACAAATAATTTAAATTAACAATGGTCATATTGAATAGCATTATCAAACTGGCGTATCTCTATCATTAAAATATTGTATTTTTAAAACCCATAACTTTGAATGCTAGTGCAGTCATTAAAAATGTCTCAATCAGTTACTGTTATTGTTGATCATGTAAGTAAAATTGTAAGACCAAAAATACTTAAAATCATGGATTGTATCTTCTTGTACATAGTTTGTCTCTAATGTACTAATTAGTAAATTTGTTTATTTATTGTAACATTTATATGACACTAGTTATAATTAATATTTTTAATGATTTTGGTTATCTTAATTTTTGATTTATCCATTTTTCTTTTTCTAATTTTTAGACCAAACATTAAAGATTATTTAAGCCCAAGGCTGTATTTAGTGAATTAATTTCATTCCATATAACTTCTCTAATTATATAACAAAATCATTTTTTAGAATTTAATTAACAATTTAGCTGTCTGTATAAAAAATAAATAAATACTTATTCTGCAGTATTATTATGTTTGCTGAGTTGTTATTTTATTGACGGTATATATCTGATGATAAATATTTAATCTGAAACTGCTCGTACTTTACAAATTTAATAATACTCCAGAATAAGCATTTATTTCTATTTTTAACCTATTTGTTTATTTATGAGTATTAACTATTTACCAATTTAATAAAAAAATTTCTATTTCATTAAATAAATACATATTTTATTTTTTTATAGAACTTCAAAATACTTAATCTGTTATAACCATATAGTATTTTAAAAATTTTTATTTTATTTTTATTGTATTTTAAAGTATGTTAAATAAATCACATTCAATCGAAATTAACAAAAAAGATAAAAATAACTCATTTTACCTGTTAGTCTTAACTTAGAAATTCCTTTTAATAAGTACTACAAAATTAATTTTTTCTTTACACATTTGCATAGGGTTACAACATTAAAAAATATATTCCAAATGCAGATAGTACACAACAAAGTCTGCATCCATTTCATTATTTTTGTATTTTTGTAGAATTAATACAAATTACATTTCACAAAAAATGGGCACTTTTTCATACTTGACATTTAAATAGGAACTTTGATTTGATTTTTTTGCAGTGACTTGAAATTGTATGTATAGTGCATTATCCAAGTGTAAATGCTTTACAGATTGTTGTTGTTTTCTTTAAGTTAAATTTATAAACTTTAGTAAAATGTTATTTACAATTTTTTTTTTCAACAACCAGATGCCGCCTTATTTGTTGCTGTTGACGAATGCCAGTGTGATATACGATATCTCAGGATATGTAGGTGACATTTGGAAAATCATGGAAAAACGTCTAGGCATAAGGTACATATATTATATTTCTATAACCCAATTATTTTGATTGATGATTATTATAAACGGTTCAGAAAAAAAAAAAACATAAAAATTTTTACGTTGCATAGGTAGGTACTTCTGGTGTTAGTACTTCATCATTTAATGGACAGAGATAATTTTTTATTTCCATCTTGTGTTGTGTTGTGAATTAAAATCCCACTGACTGGTTTCTGTTCATTGTTGATCACAATAATTTTTGGCGAAACATCCACAGCTTGGCGATCACTTTCCCAGTTTTTCTCTTGTGTCGTCCGTTCCACTTGAAGCTCCCGGTCGTTGGTTTTGACTTCTTTCGCGACGATTACCTCTGCAGGTGTAGCTAAATTTTTTAACGGCCAATTGACCTTAAAGCATACTCAATATATGATCAATACTAGACTATTTACAATTGATGAAGATTGGAAAAAAAAAATTAGAATTAAGAATATACGTTCCTTACTTCTTGATGTGTAGTTATGAACTCAGGCGGCGGCGAAGGGTTCGATGGTATATTCGGGAACATACTCTAAATTAAAACAGAATCCGTGTTAAATAATATCAAAGCAAGGGCTTATTTGAAGGAGGGGCGAAGGGGGCATTTGTCCCCCCCATGGCTCGTATTTTTTTTTTTTTTTTAATATAATACATTGATTTATTTAAAAAATGTAATGTATAAATAATTAAGAATATAAATCACTGGTCTATCATTATAACAGGAACATGCAGTGGCGGATTTAATGGTCGTTTAATCGGCAGATGCCGATGGGGCCTCTTCCTAAATTGTTTACTAAGGCCCAAAAAAAATTGTAGTTAATTTTTTTTAAATTTTACCACAAAAAAAAAATTATAATACAAACTGTATCGTTTACAAGCAGTTTTGTAAAACGGGGCTAAGAATGTTAGTGATACATTTATTACGAGGTCCCTCTTTTGGATTTGTCGACTTCATTTGAATTTTTAAATCCGCTACTGGGAACATAAGCTGTAGGTAATGAAATGTAAATTATTTTTAAGTTTGTATCGAAGAAAAATTAGTTTCGCCTCCCCCCCCATGGTCTCAACTCAAATACGCCCTTGTACCAAAGCTTGTAGTTGTACTACGGACAGTCCCGATCTGAATCTAAGGAGACCGATGTTCAAATACTAATTGGATGCCATTTAAAACAATTTGCGAAACATAACACTTTTATATTTGTTTAATACAATTCGATATATTAAATAACTAGAAAAAAAAAAAATAACCGAAATTCAAGTACCACGATTAATGGGTAAATTTAAAATAACGAAACGGACAGTTTTAGATATTGGTTTAGAGGTCTTTCGATCTTGAGGTTCCGGTACATAGCGTCCCCGTTAAATCCAGCACTAACTACGGAGCAGCAGTCTTAGTAAACGTATCATATATGAAATACAACGTTTTCAGGGGCAAGTACGAGTACCTATCCAAATTGTACATATAAAAGTGCATATTACGGTGACATTGAAAAAAAAAAACAATTTTTCTTTTTTATACAATCCGATGAGAACACCAGGTCGGTAGTGTATTAGGTATGCGCCAAATGTTTGACGTACAAACGGGTTTCGGTGGTAAAGAACGCAATAAGATAAACAGAAAACGGCGAACGTCGGTGGTCTACGTGCTAAATGGTAAAAATGATGGTCGGAAGGTGCGTTTCTAGAGAATTATCCGAAACGGATGCGGTTCCGAGTGGTGCGCGGGTCGTCACCGATGACGGGGGGAGGGGGAAGGATGGGCCACTTACTCCGAACACCAGGTCTCCGACGAGCGACGATATGCACAAGACGACGAACAAACTCCAGTGACCGACCATGGTTGCGGTGACCTGACGGATGTGGTACGTGTGCCGACGAGGACGTAGCGACGCGATTGACGCGGAAACTCTCGCGAGGAACGCGTCCAATAACGGTGTGTGCACGCCGTCACCGGGGAGAGGGGCGGCCCGAACGGGTTAATTGTGCACGTCGGTTAGACGTGGTCGCGGATGTGCCGTCGGGGGAAAAAAAAATAAATATGCAAAACCGCGACAATGCCATCGGTGTCTATTGTGGGCCGCGCGCGCTCGCGCCGTCTAAACGACGCCAATTGTAACGTGTTCGGCTGGTAATTATACGCGCGCGCTCGCGTGTGTTCTCGCGGATTCCGAGCCACGCGTCCCGTCGTCGTTTTTTGTTTTCCACCGGATGATAAATCGACGTCGAACAAACGAACGCGCGCGCTCGCGGCACTTGTTGTTCATCATCATCGAACGTACACGTCTGTGTTTTTGTCTGTACACGCACGTGCGCGACGTGTTGTACGGCGCATAATTTATGTGCATATTATTATATTCGTAGTGTCCAACTGGTTTAACAGCCGGTTATGTCGTTATTGTTATTATAACATCAATACCGATGTACGGGTCCGCGTTGTCCCGCCGAACGAAAAACAAGA